TTTGGCACAATCCTAGTAGGACTTTTATTTCTCCATGCAGATTCCTCCTAGGATTCATACTCCTAAGGATAATGCTTATCCTTTTACACCCCCCCACTGCTTAAACCAAGTGGGATGGTTTTCATCATGGCCGAACTGCCATTCGACCGAGATAAACCTGGCTATACTGAGCCACAGAGTAGGCCGTACTAACAGTAGTTCGGTTCTTCCTCTTGCTGCGCCATATCTCGGTTCTCTCATACACGAACCATGGCATGTTTGGACCGATCTACTGAATAGCAACATTCCAACCGACCAACCCAGAATACATCATGACTGGACTATTTCTGAGACCGGCCTAACTCCAAGCTGCACGGACCGAAGTAACCCAACATCTCTTCTGGGCCGGAGTAACTTTATCACTCTTGAACCGGAGTAACTTTATCTCTCCTGGGCCGGAGTAATTTTTTGGCCTTTTTTACACAATCCTTCGTACTTTGGGCCACAAAGTCCATCTCACAGCTCGACCTAATTTTCACCAAAATTTACCCTCTCAACCTTCTAACCCAAAACAAAGACAACAGAAAAAGAAAATTTATTTAAATGAAAACGGCTTTAGTAAAGCCAAAATAAATTTCTGAATAACACATTCTAACCCAAAACAAAGACAAGAGAAAAAAATAAAAAATAAAAAATTTACATGAAAACGGCTTTAGTAAAGCGAAAAAAAATTTATGAATTACATTATTACCTTCTAACCCAAAACAAAGACAACAGGAAAAAAAAAAATTTATTTACATGAAAATGGCTTTAGTAAAGCCAAAACAAATTTCTGAATAACACATTCTAACCCAAAACAAAGACAAGAGAAAAAAATAAAAAATAAAAAACTTCACATGAAAATGGCCTTAGTAAAGCGAAAAGAAATTTATGAATTACCTTATCACCTTCTAACCCAAAACAAAGACAAAAGAAAAAATATATATATTTAAATGAAAACGGTTTATTAAAGCCCAAACAAATTACTGAATAACACCTTCTAACCCAAAACAAAGAAAAAATAAAATAAAATAAAAATCTTGTAGTGTTAGATTTAACCATAGAATGATTTAGAACCACATTCATGAACCCTATTCTACCAACATTATACCCACTTTCACAACCACAAAAAACACAATAAAGTAGATCAAGAGAGAGAGACAGAAGGCATACCAACGAGAGAGAGGACAGAGAGCAGAAAGGGAGCTCGTGCACAACGAGAGAGAGAGAGAGAACAGGAGTGAACTGTGTGTATAAGAAGCGTGAATGCAAATGACGGGGCTGGGGAGGTTTTATAGTAGTTCTAAACTCGTGGTTACAAACCACGAGTTCATTTTAAAAAATTGTATAAAAATCGTGGTTCGAAAGAGCGAGTTCAGAAGAAAAATATTTTTTGATAAAATCGTGGTTAGGAAAAGCGAGTTCAGAAGAAAAATGTTTTTTGATAAAATCGTGGTTAGAAACAGCGAATTCAAAACAAATTTTTTTTTGGATAAAATCGTGGTTTGTAACAGCGAGTTCAAAGGAAAAAAAAATTAATTAAAAGCGCGTTTTGTAACCGCGATTTATTAATCAAAAGCGCTTTTTGTAATCACGAATTTAAGATTTCTCAACTTTCACTCTGGATAGGCATAAATATGTTGAAATCGCGATTATGAACTGCGAGTTAGCTTATTTTGAGAATTCTTTGAAAACCAGGCTTAGTTTGGAAATTGACTTACTATTTTGGCTTATTTAGGGAAATGCCCCAAAATTCTTTACCAGAACAATCTTACTGGACAACTTTGAAATTAAGAGTCGCTTGGTTGAGTCCTTCATTTTAAAATTATAAATTCCACCTACACCATTCTATATTTAATTTCTTCACATATATATATATATATATATATATATATATATATATATTCAGTTTTTATAAAACTAGTCTTTAAATAATGTGCTCTCTCTCTTTCCAAAATCTCACACATTTTTCAAAAAATAAACAAAAAATAAACAAAAACCAGTTTATAAAATTTTTGTAAATATAAACTGAAAACGTAAACGTTACCAAACACACCTCAGAATCCAGAAAAAACATACTTGTAACTCAAATAAGGTGCTGCTTCACCAGTTATCAGTTACCCTTCAAAAACATTCTAGACACAACAAATAACCAAAAATTGCTTTGGATCAGGACTGGAGCTAGAATTTTAACATGAAGGGGCAAAAATTATGAAAAGAAAATAGACTACAGAATCAATTTCTACCAATATAAAAGGTGAAAAATAGCATTAAAAAACATATATAAATAAACATTTTTTTATATTCATGTTGAATTACAAAAGTCAGCAATTACAACACAATCTATTGACAATAGTTGTGAGAAACCAATTTTTTTTCGTTATATTTCATCTAAATTATTAAATTTTATACTTTGAACCTCACAGCATTGCGAGTTGTTCAACCACTTAAGGTCTAAATAATAGCTAATGATAGTATATGGAAGGTTTATCTGAGAATGTAGGCGGGCAATCACCCGCTCTAGGTCCATCTTTGCTTTAGATGCCCATGGAAATTCCATTTGAAACCATAACAAATCAGAGTGCGCTACTCAAAGCTCAAGCACACAAGGTTTGCCCGTCTGAAGATTAACAGAAACAAATACTAACATGAAAGATATTACTATCAAAATTACCCAAACAATGTTATTATGATATCATTTTGATGCTGTAAACAGGAAACGAAAAAAGACCACAATCTAAGCTCTTATTTCAAATATATGTACAGCTCTCACACTTAGTCCTAGTTGTTGGCAACCATGGCATCCATAGCAGGGGCAGTCTCTATTTTCTTTATACGTAACCTTTTATTGGGAGGAAGGTCTTTAGCTGATACATCAGCATCAACTAGGATAGAGTCCTCTTCATTAAAATCCCCTCTTAAGACTCCCATAGCAATTTCATTCTCAACCATTTGTTGTATCACTCTCTTGACTGGCCTCGCTCCAAAGTTGGGATCGAAACCCAATGTCACTAGAAGTTCCCCAGCTTCCTTCGTGTAGTAGAGGTCAATCTTCTTCTGTTTGAGCCGGTCTTTCACCCGATTCAACTGCAATTCAAGATAACAGCAGTATTTTCAGAATATTATTTTTTAGATAGGAAATTCCAGAACATATATAGTAACATGATACTGTCTGAGAATGTAATAATACAAGAATAGCACAAGGTAATTATAATTGGTAAGAAGTCACAATTTTAGCCATCTATCACCAATCACAGAATAGACCTGCATTTGATAACCTACAAATCAACATCATTGGATATTCAGCTGTGATTGTATGCATACAAATGACCAATATTAGATCTTTGTCAGTATCTATGTGGCCCACAATGAATGCCAAAATCGTAATGATAATAGTGAATGCAGGATTGTACAATTGAAATTTTTTCACTTTTTTTTTGGCAAGCCCTCAGTCAGGGTAAGAAACACAAGTATGCTCATCAAACCAAAGAGAGAAAATTAAGAATGGTGAATACAATTCAAGCTGAAAGCCTGAAATAACATAATGAATACTCATCAAAGATTTAGTATACAGAGGACTGTAGGCTAGAATATGAAACATGAACAGAACAAAATCATAGATCTGCTGCGAGAGTTTAATTACCTGGATCTCAACAATTTTGCTGATTTCTTTGGAGTCCAGAGGTTGGAAAACAATATACTCATCAATTCGATTCATGAACTCTGGCCGGAAAGTTTGCCTAGCCAATTCAATGACCTGTTTTTTCATCACTTCATACACTACCTCCTTACTGTCATGTGAGGTTCTAAGAGTTTCAAGGATACAGTGGGACCCAATATTTGATGTCATTATCAAAACACAATTTGTGAAACTAACAGTCCGTCCTTGGGAGTCGGTTATCCTTCCATCATCCAGCACCTGTAACAGAATGTTGAAAACATCATTATGTGCCTTCTCAATTTCATCAAAGAGCACAACGGAATAGGGCCTCCGACGGACCACTTCCGTAAGTTGCCCACCTTCTTCATAACCAACATATCCAGGTGGGGCACCAACCAAGCGAGATACTGCGTGTTTTTCCATGTACTCACTCATATCGATCCTCACAAGAGCATTTTCTGTGTTGAAAAGGTATCCAGCTAGAGCCTTTGCAAGCTCAGTTTTACCAACACCTGTAGGACCCATGAACATGAAGCTCGCTATAGGACGGTTTGGATCAGACAATCCAGCTCTTGATCGTCGAATTGCATCAGCCACAGATTTGACTGCCATATTTTGACCAACTACCCTCTTGTGGAGAACTTCTTCTAGCCTGACAAGCTTCTCCCTCTCTGACTGATGGAGGTGTGATAAAGGTATGCCAGTCCATTTGCTTACAATTTCAGCAATATCAAGATCAGTAACCTCTTCTCGAAGCAAAGATTTTCCGGACTTTTGATAGTCAGCAAGGTTCTTTTCAGCTTCTTCTAGCTGGCGCTGAAGGGACATTAGTGTTCCATATTTGAGCTCAGCTGCACGATTTAGGTCATACTCACGCTCAGCAGCTTCCATCTCTAGGTTGACTCTATCAATCTATTCAACAAAAAATAAAGGTGAGTTGGAAAAGGGTTAGGGCGATGCAAGTGTATAGTTGCCACCAGTACAATATACACTAACAAGACTTACCTCCTCTTTAATTGACCGTATACGATTCATGAGAACTTTCTCACGTTCCCACTGCTCAGTTAACTCTTTCTGTTTTTGCTTAAGCAACAAAAGCTCATTTTCCAGCTTGGCTAATTTTTCTTTGGATGATTTATCATTCTCTTTTTGCAGAGAGAGTTTCTCCATCTCTAGCTTTACCACAGCCCTATCTATTTCATCCAATTCAGTAGGCTTAGAAGTAATTTCCATCTTTAGCTTTGCAGCAGCTTCATCAACGAGATCAATGGCTGAAATCAGGAGAAGAATTTATGGGAATCAAATTCAGAAAAAGACATTTAGCACCAAAAACATCTAAAGTAAACAAGAGCTAGATCACTCCCGCGCTTCTAAATAGAGAAATGTTTCCTTTCATGTTTTCGTTCTTCTTTTTCTACTTTTCTGAATAAACCATGGAGCAAATCCATGTCTGTTAATTGTCATTAAGATTGTCAACGACTTCATGCAATCCATAAAAGCAATTTGCTCCATTAACATCTGTCCAGGCACTCAAGCACTGTGGAGATGGATCACATGGTTCCAGAATTTAATAATATATTAAAAAAAGTAGAAAAGAAATTTAACATTTAGGTTAGTCAAAGAAAAGCATTTATAGACAGGCTGATGATATATCAAATTAGCATTGATAAGTTCATTGTGTGCAAGTATTAATAGATAGGAAAAAGAAAAGAACAAGAATTACGCTGGTAGAGAAGGATTGATTTCCAGGCCTGAAACAAAGCTATTCATTACCTTTGTCAGGCAAAAAACGCTCTGTTATGTATCGATCTGCAAGAACTGCCGCTGCAACAAGGGCACTGTCTGATATTTTAACCCCATGATGCAGCTCATACCGTTCACGCAATCCACGAAGAATGGAAATTGTGTCTTCTACAGATGGCTGACCGCAAAACACTTGTTGAAATCTGCGTTCCAGAGCCGGATCCTTCTCAACGTATTTTCTATATTCGTTTAAAGTAGTTGCTCCTATACATCGGAGCTCACCTCGGCCAAGCATTGGTTTCAACAAATTTCCCGCATCCATTGCCCCACTTGTAGCCCCTACATGACACAAATAAGACCACCACATCAAATAATTGAACATTGACAATCTAACTAATAGAATGTAACAGAAGGTATAACAGACTGGGATGTGAATATAAGCCTGCCAGAAAAACAGAAAGAACATTAATGTGCATATGCATGTAGCTGCCGCTGGATCGATGGGTGAAGATATGGGCCCCCATGCGTACTTAATATCCGGTCATAATTCATTCAAGAACTTCCAATATTTTTAAATCATCAGATGTTATTTTCAATAATGTTCTTGTTATGTGGTCTTCTCCTTTACCAAGTGATGCAGTCCACGAGAAGACAAGAAAAGGCAAAATAAAAGAAGTGGCTCCTTTTGGAAATTGATTGTTTCAAGCCGAACGAACTTGGGATCCATGTATAATTAAATTTTTAGAATTGGTAGTCTATTTTTATGATTACTTAGACTATGTATTAATCTTACAATTTTCTAATACAATTTATTAAGTTTTATAGTTCAGAGGTATTTTTCGTAATTTGCATAATTTCTGGATGCCCATGGGTCATCACACGCGTCAACTAACGCAATTAGGTTATGGGCCTTATTTGGACTTTTATAGGTTTTAGAAAAGCTCAGTAGTTTCCTTTTTAAAAATTCTAGACCTATTTAATGAAGTCAGTCTTCATATCTAGATAAAGTCATGTAATACCCCCCTTTAATTCGATAGAGAACATGTTTTGGAGATATTTGTGAAACTTTTGAAGCTCTCCAATGGTGTGTGTGATACAATTCTAATCCTGGTGTGATGCCTAGAGAATCTAGGTGTGATTTTAGATCTTTTCTTATTCTTTTTAATTTCTCTGCTCTTATAGCCTCTAAAACCATAAAACCAAATCTTTGTTGACCACTATTCAACGCCCAGCTTCATAGATCTTTACCCTCACCCAAAGAAGCGCAGACACATGTACGAACACGTGACACGAGACAACACAGACATGTGGACACGCAAATTTTCAAAAAATAAGGGACACAATACACTAGGGATACCCTCAAAATATATAATTTTATTTATTTATTATGTCATAAAATTAAAAAAATAAATAAATTCAGAAGTAATAAAAAAATGCAAAATAATATTAACAAATATTTTAAAATATATATACAGCTATTCATCAATTTTAGCACTTCACCCAATAAATAAATTCGGCAATTTCAAGAAATTTATTTATTTTTCAAGTAAAATTTATTTGCTCTATGCATGTTCAGGAAAAGTGAGCCAAAAATGAATGTTAAAACGTAGAGGGGTTGCAAATTTTTGTTTACTTATCCTATAGTTGACCTCATAAAAGGGGGAAAAAAATAAAATTAAGAAAATATATAATCAAAGAGAAAAGAGAGAGAGAGAAGATGAAAAAAAAGAGTCTAGAGGGAAAAAAAAAAAAAAAAAACAAAGAAAAGAAGAAGACAACGAAGAGAAGAACGAAGAGGATGAGACGAAGAAAAGAAGAACGACCGAGAGAGACAGAGAGAGAGAGAAGTTGTTCACAGGTAGGTCTCTCTCTCTCTCTCTCTCTCTCTCTGTAACAACCCTCACCTTACTCTTGTCATACTTGCATACATTCCTGCATGAACCTGCCTTGTTATTTTGTTTTTGAAGGTTTTGTCTTGTCTTGATTTGCTTAAAGTTGCTAGCATGATTCTGATCTTTGCTTGGTATGTGTGGCCGAGGTCCTCTTGAGCTTAGTTCGCCTTTGAACCCTTGTACTTAGAACTATTTTGAGACCTTGGTCGACCCCCATCTTCACCTCGGGCATTTTATTGCCGAGATGTTTCGCACTTAGTGAACCTTGTCCTTGGGCAGGTATAGCCTAGGCCGAGATGTGGCACACCCCGGCCAAGGTGCGGCACAGCTTAGTCAAGCGTCGTCCTCCCTAGCCGATGTTTTGTTACCCCGTTGCCTTATCCTTGATTCGTGCCGATATCGTTCATTGCCGATGTGTTGTACCGAGCTTGCTGCATACGCTTTGTCAGAGACTTGTCTTATCAATCAATCACCTTTTGAGCTGAACCAACCCGGTAGCGCCACGTGTCCGTGCTGATTGTTAAGACAGCCGGCAGACCTTGAAACACATCATTTTCTTGCCTCAAATCTTTACCCTTAGAGAGAGAAGTTCTTGAGTGAGAGCAAGTGTTCCAAGCTTGATCTTTGTGGTTTGAACCGTTGGATTCAAGTTTTGGGGTAAGAATCTTAATCTACTTTGATTATTGTTATTGATCATCTAGCTGCATTGCATGATCGAATCTGTTTTGCATGCCATGCATCGATTTGAAGTTGGTTTTGGAAAGAGAAAATGGTTTTTCATATGTTCTTGAAGAAAGTCTCGTTTTGATCCGAAAGTTTGGAACGAAAACCATGTTTTTGTGTTTGTTCTTGCATAACCTTCTTGTATGGGTACCCAGGCCCATGTTTTGAACTCGTGGCATGAAATCTCAGATTTTTATAACAAGTTTTGAGCTCACATTCATCTTTCTCTCGATCATGTTCATCATGTTCTTCTTGTGCTTCAAAGGGAAAACCCAGGTTTTCCCGACTTTGCTTTTGACTGAGGCCAACGGGACCACACCTCGGCAAGGATGTGTGGAACCTCGGCAAGGACCTGGTTGGTACCCAATTTGTTTTCCTGAGACGGGAGTAGTGTTTAAACTCCCAGCATGTTTTGCTTTGTTATTGACTTGGATCTGTTAAGAATGGAAGTTTCTCATTTCATAACAAATAGCCGCTTTTATAAATAAATTATCAAGTCAATTAACAGCTTTTAATAATTTCAAAAATTTATTTCGATTAATAATTTAGGTAATTTAATCATTGTATAAGAGAGCAATTAGGAATTTCATGTTTTCAGTTAATTTTGTTAAATAAAAAATTCTGATAATAGAGTATTTGTAATTTTCCAAACCACGGGAGCTAATCCGTATTGTAAGCAAACATTAAGGGATGTATTTGTAATTTACCCAATATCTAATTATCAAGACGTAAAAGGGGTCTGATTGATGAATCAGTACCCCCCAAGGAACTCCAAGGTTGAAACTAATCATATTCGTGATTCAAAAAACCCCATAATATCCTACATTTTTAGGATTTATTGAATTGATGTATCCTTATAAATGTGTCATATATGTCTCTCGTATCCATATCCATAGGATAAACAATGAAATACGATGACATTAAAATCGAATTTCAACAGTTAAGCATGCAAATAAACTTGCAAACAACCCTTATGCACATAAAACATATAAAATTGAGAAGTGCAAGGGCTATTAAAAACAGTTTAGCTTTAGTATGACCTACTAAAAAAGGTAAAGTGGTTGGCCATTGGCTCACCATTCTTTGAGCTCATGTATAATACAGACCCTACAATTATAAAAAATATTTTTTACACATATATCTTTGCCATACCCATATCCTATTTTTTAAAGTTTTGTCGTATCGTCTTGTATCTCATATCTATATATATGTGCTTCATAGCTTATGCTCATGTACTTTACAACTCGAGGACGAGTTTTTTCCAACTGGGAAGAATGATGCAGTCGTTGAGAAGATTAAGTAAAAGAAAAATTAAAGAAGTGGCCCTGTTTGGAAATTAGTTGGTTCCAAACCAAATTCACTTGAGATCGATGTATAATTAAACTTTAAGATTTAGTAGTGTTATTTTATGATTACTTAGGCTAGGTATTAATCTATTTAATTTTCTATATAAAGTTTCATAGCTCAAGGATAGTAATTAGCATAATTTCCAAATATGGTTTGCATTTATGAAACACGGGTGTGAGTACAGATATTGGTATGGGTATGCCGATAAGCAAAAAAAATTAGGATACGGATACGACTGAGGTACATCTATAAATTTTTTATTTTTTGTAATTTATAGTTTGAGATTCAATTTACAAATCAAAGTTCAATACCAAAACTAAAAAGAGAGATTACAAAACCAAAAGAGAAATTATAGTTCAACAATACCAATACCAAAGCAAAGTCTACAAGCTATTTTAATGCCATTAAATAGGAGAAATTAAAAAATAAAATTTCATTCCAAAAGCAAGCTAAGTGAAATTTAAAAACTTGAAACTTTAGTTTTTACTTCCATCAACTTCATCATTGAATAATACATCTTTGATCTTTGGCACATCAAATAAAGAATTTGCAATTTCAAATAAATCAGAACTCTAATAAATTAAACGTATCTCCACTAATGTCCCATAACTTGGTGTACTCTCGAATGTACCAATCTCATACCCATGAAGTACCTGTGGAGTACCCAATTGCCAAAAAATATATAAAAATTACCCGGTACGTATTTCGAGTACCCAGTACGCATGCAGTCCTGTCAGTACGAGTACGACAACATTTTCAAAGTACCCGTGCTTCATAGGTTTGCATAATTTCCAAATATGGACTGTAGAGTTATCATATGAGCCATGCTATGTAATCAAATTTTATTTACGGGTCTTATTTGGTCTTGTATGATTATAGAAGTGACAAATTTAGTAGGTTTTTTTTTTTGTTGCTTTCTTTTTAAATCTTAGTCCTAGTTAGTGAAGGAAGTCTCCAATCTCTATACCCTATACAAAGTCATGTAATTAATTTAATAGACAACAAGTTTTGAAGAATTTTGCGAAGTTTTTGAAGCTCTTCTATGGATTGTGTGAGGCAATTCCAACCTTAGGAATAATCCCTATGGAATTTAGGTGTGATGCCTAATTCTTCTTATCTTTTAATGTTTTTGCACTTTTAGCCTCTAAAACCATAAAACCAAATCTTTATTAACCCCTATTCAACCCCCAAGCTTCATAAATCGTTAAACAGTCCCCAAATAGTTCCATAAATCCTTTCTCTTCACTATCAAACCTCTACCCTTCCATGTCTCCATACAAATCCTTTAATACTCCGTATTTTTGCCACCTGTTCAGCTACAAAAATCAACTACAATTCAGCCCCCAAAGCCTAGGGTTTCTGTTGTCATATATTATTTTGGGCTGTTACTAGTAGGTGAGTAATCCTCGAACTCATCCTACATCACCCAGTCACCAATAAAACAAGAATGTATTGGTGCTTAAAAAATAATTTCCAAAGATTTCATTATATAATTCCAAGGCATGTTGATTGTGGTACTACCATCACAAGAAATTATCAATGTCATACATTGGTAAAATCATTAACCTAGGAAGCATAGATACGGATACGACACGATACGGATACGGCGATACGACAAAACTTTAAAAAAATAGGATACCGGTACGGCTAGGATACGTTTGTGAAAAATATATTTTTTAAAATTATTAATAGTGAGTTATACATAAGCTAAAGAACGATGAGAAACCACAATGTAATTTTATAATGCAAAATACTAACCTTTAAGAATTTTGTATTAATTTAAACTAGTAGCATATTTACTTTTTAAATTTTTAATAGGTCTTGCAAATATTTCATTTCAATATCAAGTTTAATATATTTATATTACAATAATAGAATAATTCACAACTTGTATTCAAGTTTATTTGCTTATTTATTTATTGATATTTAATTTTAGCATTGTTATATTCTCTTATTAATTCTTACTTTCTATGTAGTTATAAGGGACATGCATGAAATAATTAAGATACATCAATTTGATAAATTCTATTATTTAACTCCTTATGCTCTTCTTATCGAAGAACTTAACAAAGTATTAGAAAAATATTCTTATATTTATACTTGCAATTATATTATATTATATTACTATGCAAGAAATGTTATAATTCTAATTTCATAAAACAAGTAAACATGACTTAGAGTATCCGATACTTCAAAATTAAGTATCCGATACTCCAAAATTAATGAAAAAATAATTAAGAAGTATCCGATAATTTTAATAAGTATCTGATACGAATCCGTGAGTATCCAAGGAGTATAGGTATCCGATACGGATACGATACGGATACGTCACCCTATTTGAAGTATCCGTGCTTCATAGTCATTAACCCTCAAGTGCATCAAGTGGACAGTATATTGACAGTTCATTATGCAAACAATTCATGTATATATCCACTATGAGCTGTGCTTATCAGGTAAGCTAAATAATTTTTTTAAATCATCCTTGACAAATTTTGATTATCTTATGTAACATCCAGTACTCCATAATTTTCTTCATTTCATGCTTTACCAAATCATTACAAACCATGTTTCTAATTACTCATGTCATGCTTTGCCACTAGTGTTTCTTAGCATATATGTGCACACCACAAAATAGGATCTTCATTAAAATGGATGAAGGTAAAGAAGTCAGTTCTTATACATTATCTCAAACTGTATATTTTTTATTTTAAGTTTTCGAACTCTTACAACATCTCGAACTTCAATCTATTGGACACCTATAAAATTTGCAAGCTATTAACATATTGTTGTTAACTTAAGATGTTATGGATAGGAACACAGATGAAATATTGGTGGGAAAAACAAAAAAATACAACAGATACCAAACAAACAGAATACTAACCAGCACCGACTACTGTATGGATTTCATCAATAAACAAAATAATCTGCCCATTTGAAGCTGTGACCTCCTTCAAGACAGCTTTTAGCCTTTCTTCAAAATCTCCTCGGAACTTAGCACCAGCAAGCAAAGAACCCATATCCAGAGAAATCAGCTGTACAAGACAAGAACACAAAGTAATGACATGAAAGGGAACGTAAGTATCAACAAAAATTGCATTTTGAACTGAAATTACATAGTACAAATTAGAAGAAGGTCAAAGTAATGACGTGAAAAAAAAGTAAAAATCAACAAAAAAAATGCATTTTGAACTGAAATTACATAGTACAAATTGGAAGGAGGTCAAATTCCAGCAGATCTAAATCAATCAAGTTAGAAAACAATTATTTATAAGACCACCGAACTTCAGATCAAATTCGAACAGATTCTTGTGAAGATATTTACTATAGGGAAAATTTCATTTTACCCCCTTCGGATTTGGTCCATGTGTAGATAACCTCTTTATCAAAATAAGCACATCAACCCCTACGGTTTGTGAACTAAAGTGCACCATTAGATCTTCCATCCAAAATAATGGTCCGTGAGAGTCACAGGCCTATATGAAGAGTAAGTTTTTAAGACAAAAATAGCCCTTCTACATTTTTGAATTTACAGAGAATGCCGCCCTTCCTACTCTCTCTGACAGAAACTTCATTTCAATGCCCCTAAGCAAATCCCCAAGCTGATGGTGGTGGATTTCTTGGCATCATGGTGTGGACCCTAAAAGTTCATAGAGTCACCAATCTGCACAATGGTCACCAAGTTCACTCACACTGAGTTTGTCAAGATTGATGACAATGAATTGTCAGATGTGGCACACAAGTTTGGGGTGCAAGGGATGCTGATGTTCATGCCGCTAAAGCAAGAGAACAAGTTCATTGTGGGCAAGAAGATCAAGAAGCACAGAGAGAAACCAAAAATTTGCTGCTTGATTAGTAAACAACCCATTCCATCTATTATTTTTGCTTAGTTAACCAGTTATGCAGAATGAACACCAATTGTGATGATTCTGTTGAACATGTCTGTTGTTTGGTAAGAGAACTTCTTCAATTGAAAATATGGATGTACTTCCATTTGTGATTCCCCAAAAAAATACATATACAAGTTAAAGAGGAAGAAGATGAGGGTATTTGAGTAAATTTGCAGGTTTTGTCAATGGGATGTGACTGTGCGCTTTGGTCCACTTTGATCTGGGTCTGCCTCTGATCCAATTAAACATATCATATTACTAAACTTGCAGAAATAATCAATTGCATGTAAATTTTAAATGGGTAACTTTTACCATGCTCAAACCTCTGGACATATCTAAGACACATGTACCTCATACATTCAGAAACGTGAAGAGTATTTTTGTTTAACATATTTTTTCATAGGACATGATCATCCTGAATGACACCTAGGGCCGAAATTTAGTTCCATTCACAAGGGCTAACTTCTAATGATGTCTTGAAAATTCCCATTACCACAACTTGCTGAAGAAAGGCAGAACTCTCAGCTTTCAGACCTACCAATAGATAATAATAAATAGGGAGAATTACAAAAATAATGCTAAGGCTCAATTTGTTTAGGATGAAATAGGTAGAAAGTGAGGGAAAGAGAAAAAAATAATAATTTGTATGAGTTTGTTTAGCTTGAAAGTGGTGGAAAATATAAGAAAACTAATTTTCTTGTACAATCCATATTAGCATTGTAACTAATTTTTAATTTCTTGCAAAAAACACAAGAAAAATTGAGTGTATAAGTTATCTATAAATAAACTGTAAGATAAATTGATAGAGTAAGAGAGAATAAATTGTGTATATATTGATTGATGTATATATTGTGTATATTACAAGGATTTATATAGGAGAGGATTTGGGAGTAGGTGAAGGTGGTAGTGGAGGTGGTAGGTGGAGTGGGTGGTAGTGGAGGTGTTAGGTGGAGTGGGTGGTTTACTATTTACAATTTACATTTTACATTAACAGCCCCCCTCAAACTCAAGGAGGATAGGTACTAGCCAACTTGAGTTGGGAGAGAGTAACAAAACAGAAAAATAAGCTGACAAATAAAATTAAAAAAAAATGGGATAGGAGACACTGTATGGTCGTGTCGGACCGTTGTAGCAGACAGTTTACGGGGTCATGTCGGACCGTTGTAGCAGGACAGTTTACGGGGTCATGTCGGACCGTTGTAGAAGACAGTTTACGGGGTCATGTCGGACCGATGTAGCAGCTGACCGGAATCAATGTCGGGACAGTTTATGGGGTCATGTCGGACCGGTGTAGCAAATTGTGGTGGTGCACCAAGGGGGTGACTTAGGGAGTGCGCCATGGGCGACTTATACATGATACGGTATAACCCCCCCTCAAACTCAAATAGGTGTGAAGATAGAAACCTATTTGAGGTTGAAACAAAGGGATTGATAAAGCTGACCGGTGTAGAAGACACTGTATGAGTGTGTATATAGGCTGCCCAAAAAATATACATGGATGTAGATATCGAGCCCTCAAAAGGCGTGCCCTCAAAAGGTGTGCCCAATCTGTCAAAAGGCGTGCCATCAAAAGGTGTGCCCAATGCATCAAAAGGCGTGTCAGATATGAGGCGCGCGATGCGCGTGGCTGCTTTGGCTATATAACCAAGACGAAGGCAGAGGCTGAGGCAGAGACTGAGACAAAAAAAACTGAGAGAAACATCTGAAAAACTCTTCGTGTTCTGAGAGATTCGTGTTCTGAGAGAGAAACTCTGTAATATTCTGTAACACTCTGTTGCCCAGAAAATGGCCTCTTCGTCCCGCCCTCTGCTTACTCTCTTTCCCGACCTCAACGAGTCCACAAGAGAGATAACGGGTGCGGTGGCCCCTGAACCTCAACCAGGCGCCCCAGGGTTTGCTCCGTTGAACTTTCCGATGCGGTCTGTGGAGCAAAGAATGGCAGTGCAGTCGGATGTGGAAGCCAATCAGTATACGTTGAAGTCATGTGTGGAAACCATGACTGCGGTGACAAACTTGTCGAACCGGCTGCAGAGTAGGGCAAATGAGGTGCAGCAGTTAAACTCCCAGCTGGCTCTGCTCCAACGCATGTATAAGGATGCGCGAGCAGAGATAAGCGTGCTAAGGGCAGAAAACAAGGAGCTGAAGCGGAAGGCCACCGTAATGTTCCGATTTGGAGGGCCGCCATATGCTGCAGTGGAGGAGCAGGGAGTAGTGATCATGCCCAGTGAAGTGGGAAACACGGAGGCAACAACGGCAAGGGCTGCCCAGGACGGAGGCAAGAAGAAAAGACCGGCGGCAGAGTAGAGAAGAAAAATCCCACCTGTGAATGTGGTTGTTTGGTTTTTTGTTTTGTTTTGTTTTGTTTTGTTTTTTTTTTTGTTTTGTTTTGTTTTGTTTTTTTTTTTTTTTTTTTTTTTTGTTGTTGTTGTGTGTAAAATTGTGATGATATGAATAAATGGACAAGGTTGTGAAATGTTGTTGGTGTTAGTTGGTGGTGGTGTGTTGTTGAATAAGAAAAAATAAAAAAAAAGAAAACAATGGATAAAGCAAAGAGAGAGAAAAAAAAATATTGGTGGATGGGTGATAAGAAAAACAGCGGTGTGCAGGTCGGCTGCTTCTTCTGGGTTTGTTGTTTTTGTTTTTGTTTTGTTTTTTTTTTTTTTTTTTTTTTTTTTTTTTTTTTTTTTTTTTTTTTGTTTTTTTTTTTTTGTTGTGATAAAATAATAAGAATAATAAGATAGTAATGTGACTCGGTGGGTGGAAAGTAAAAAAATAATAATAATAAAGAGAGAAAGTGGGGGATATGAGGAGGATGAGGAGAAGAAGAAAACGAATAAAAAAAAAAAAGTGGTGGCGTGATTTGAAAAACAAAAGGTAGTGGATGGCAATAGTAAAAGAAAAAGAAAGGAAGAGAGATGATTTAAAAGGGAGAGAGAGAGAGGGAGTGGGTGGATTTAAAAAGAAAAAAAAAATGTTTTCATCACATGTGTGTCTTTCAATACTGTGGGTGTGTGTCTTGTGTGTCTGCTGTGAGTGCCGTGGGTGAGTATTGTGTGAGAGAGAGTAGCCTAGAAATCTAGAGAGAGAGAAGAGAGCTGGGTTTGTGTCTGCTTTGCTTTCTCTGATATCTCTGGACACAAATCAAAAACACCATACTCACATATACATATAATCATATATATATATATAACAGAGAGAAACCAAAAATTTGCTGCTTGATTAGTAAACAACCCATTCCATCTATTATTTTTGCTTAGTTAACCAGTTATGCAGAATGAACACCAATTGTGATGATTCTGTTGAACATGTCTGTTGTTTGGTAAGAGAACTTCTTCAATTGAAAATATGGATGTACTTCCATTTGTGATTCCCCAAAAAAATACATATACAAGTTAAAGAGGAAGAAGATGAGGGTATTTGAGTAAATTTGCAGGTTTTGTCAATGGGATGTGACTGTGCGCTTTGGTCCACTTTGATCTGGGTCTGCCTCTGATCCAATTAAACATATCATATTACTAAACTTGCAGAAATAATCAATTGCATGTAAATTTTAAATGGGTAACTTTTACCATGCTCAAACCTCTAGACATATCTAAGACACATGTACCTCATACATTCAGAAACGTGAAGAGTATTTTTGTTTAACATATTTTTTCATACGACATGATCATCCTGAATGACACCTAGGGCCGAAATTTAGTTCCATTCACAAGGGCTAACTTCTAATAATGTCTTGAAAATTCCCATTACCACAACTTGCTGAAGAAAGGCAGAACTCTCAGCTTTCAGAAGTACCAATAGATAATAATAAATACGGAGAATTACAAAACAAGAAAATTAGTTTTCTTATATTTTCCACCACTTTCAAGCTAAAGAGAAAATAATAATAATAATAATAATAATAATTATTATTATTATTATTATTTTATGAGTTTGTTTAGCTTGAAAGTGGTGGAAAATATAAGAAAACTAATTTTCTTGTACAATCCATATTAGCATTGTAACTAATTTTTAATTTCTTGCAAAAAACACAAGAAAAATTGAGTGTATAAGTTATCTATATATAAACTTTTAAATTTTTCTATATTTTACTCAAAATTTTCATCTTAATCAGATGCTTGAAAGAAAATATATTTTCTTTTCTACTTATTTTCTTTCACTTCATTTTTTTTTTTTCAGTTTCACTTACTACTAAATTTTCTTTCCAATCAAAGGGAGCCTAAGGTTTTTACGTCAATAACAAATTCAACTCCAAGTTTTTACTTGTGACGATTTAAACTCTGAACTTCAAACTTGATTTTAATCTTGGTCCACCGTCCACCTCAATTATTAACAGTGACAGAGCAATAATTGGACAAAAAATAACTCATTAAAACGCCGCATGCTTCTGATTTCGCCCCAAAACCATATCATTACCTATCCTACTCTACGGCCAACACCATGTCCTATTCCCCTAACCCAATTTGTCTCACTCACATACAAACCCACGGAAACAATCACCACCATGGACAATCCTGCATCACCATCTCCTCCATGACTGCACTCTATCCACTTCATCCCCAACCTCTCTACCACCACTACTGATCCCAAAAACCTCGATGAATGTAAGTTACTCGGGTAAGAACCAAGTACTTTTATCTTTGGGTCAACGTTATCCACTACTATAAATATACACATATACGTACATACACGTGTATACATAAATATATTGCCATAGCAGGTTTTTCTATATGCTGATAAGTCTTACTTCATTTGACTAAACTCTCACCTCCTCGACCACCATCTTCTTCTTTATCATTCTAATGCTCCCTAACAATCCGTTTCTCCCTCTGCTCTCTCTTTAAAACTTCCATTAATAAACCCAAAACTAGTGATATAAAACATAGATAAAGTTTCAAACCTCATTCTACCTAGACCCTGAACTAACAAACAGTATAATCATAAGCCAATTTTGTAAAGAAAATAATTAACATCATAAAATATATCTGAGAGTTTTTTTGGTCTTTATAAAACCAATCCTCTAAAGGTGTTACTAGTGACCCATGTATGGAATTTTATCTGAATAGTGATTCAAATGATGGAAGAGGTGCAAGGCATAGAAGAGAGACAACATATATAAACATGGTAATGCCTATTTGAATTTTCTTCTAAACCCATCAATCCATGGCAAAGTTTATAAAAATGGTGCAAAGCTTGATTTTTGGTTTTGTTGTTGTGCTTCAACATCTTGACAAATGTATTAAATTGTGGATTGTGGTGAACTGAAAAAGAAGGAGATGGCTACCAGTTCAGTTAAGGGTGCAATTGTCGGTTGTGGTGAGCTTTTGGGTCTCTCATGAAGAAGAGCATAACACAAAGAAAGAAATGAAGAAGAAAAGAGGATAGCAAAAGAAAAAGAAAATTCTACTCATACACCACAAAAAATCTCAGTGCACCATTTGTTCCGTTCGGATATAAACTTCCAAACAAAAGTTAAATGTTCGGACGTAAACTTCCAAACAAACAATAGTTGTTCAGATATCAACTATTGAACGGAATGTATATCTGAACAATTCATTTTTGTTTGGAAGTTTACGTCTGAACATTTGACTTCTATTCGGAAGTGTATATCCAACCAACACAAAAGGTGTGTTTTGAGATTTTCTATATTGTGCAAATAGAGTTACAAGAGAAGAAATATGGGTTGAACCGTGGAGGTTGCTGACAGTGACAGCGGTGGATACAAGAGGGTGCGAGAAAGGAAAAAGGCAGTGGGTAAATTCACAAAATTATTCCTACTCTGTAGGTTCAATTAACAGAGATAAACAGAGTTAAGATTAACATCATGTGAAAGATGTAGGGGTTAGATAGACAATTAAAAACTATGTTACTGGGGTAAAACGATAGGGTTACTTTTGTAATTTCCTTAGTAAATATTGGAGCTATAAACCATCATAGCATCATGGGAAACAACATTTCTCATCCAATAATTTTTTACCTTTAATAACCTAATTACTCAAATTTAAATGAGGAAAATAACTAGAGGAAAAAAATAGAAACATGAATTACGACCTTCCGATTGAATAAAGTTTCAGGAACATCACCACGAACAATTCGTTGAGCTAATCTGCAAGATACACGAATTTTGTATTAAAAAATAATATGGAAGGTACTACATAACAAGTGTGGAAATTTCAAAAAAACCTATATGTTAAAATCACAACTCACAGATTACATATTTTTCTCGCATGCTAAATTGATAGTATAGAGTTGAGAATAGAAAACTAGAAATAAATATTTAACCAACATAAGGCATCTCATTCATACCATGCTGCACACTCATATTCCTTGGTTACAACCTCTTTGAGAACTGAAAAAATAATTACAATAAATATGCATGTGGAACAAAATGGTATAATAAATGTGTAAATTCAAAAGCAGCCACCAATAATTTCACTCTACCAAATATGCATTTTATTATCGTACTATCGTTTTAAAATTTCACCCCAATAATTTAAAATCTTTTTAATCTCTCAGCTATTTGATTTCCATCACAAATATGATATTAGCAGCCACCACATTATTGTAAAAGTCATAAGAATACATAGTGGCACACTAATGATGAATCGTAAGTTATGGCGACCAAGAATAACAATTCTCGAATTTTCCAAAGAAATCTAATGGCCATTGTGAAATTACATATTTATAATTAATTGAAGGATAAATTATATTGACACCCCCTGTGGTTAGTCTTTGATACATATTCCTCTCTGACTTTCTAGAAATTACATTTCCCTCCCTAAGGTTTATAATCGCATTACAAAATGCCCCCTCCATTAACAGTTAGTTGTTTTGAAATACCATTTTTATCTCAGTTGCATCCCTCCTATTCTCGTCTCTCTTACATCTCTCACAAAAACCACCACTGTTGGCACATAAATTTCAATTAAATTTATGACACGTATAGAACCTATGATAGGAAGGTTGTAGGTAATCACTTCCTAAAAAAAGATCAACATGATCCATTGAAGTACATAAATAAAATGACGTTGCATCTCAACGACGTTATGCAAGATGCTCAAGTGACACGTGGAGCCTACGAAAGATGAAACCCGTAGAGCCTACAGCAAGGACACCACACAGGATGAAACCCCAAAGATCAATCCGGTTAATAAGATATACAATTAATCAGATAGCGCTATTATTCAAAATTCAAACGGCGCTATCATTCAATTTGAAATTCAAGTTGAAGATGAGGCATTCCTATCACCTGATGGCCCTCTATAAACATGAGGACCATCACACAAGACGAGGGATCAGAAAATCAGAAGTGAAAAGATCAGAGAGAGAGAGAAAGAAATTGAGAAGCTAAAGAAGTCGTTACAAGAAAGAAGAAGAGAAGCCTAGAGAACTCAAGAGCCTACGCTAATGGTGATGAATAGGTAAAGGGTTCCAAACCCAAGAATTGTATTTTGTATTCGAGGGTTCAAAGCCCATAATAATTTCAATAAAATATTTATTTTTCTTAAATTGTCTTTTGTTGTTTATTTTATTCTTCATTAATCGGAGGTTTTATTTGTATAAAAATGTGTAATTAACGATCTGAAATACAGATCGGAAATAAGAACTTGCTATTCAAATAATCAATTAGTCCAAAGACTAAACAGTGGACATTTGTAACATAAAATTTTGAAATGTGTTAAAACACTTCATGTTTCAAAATTTGTGTCTACAAATTCTGGCACGCCCAGTGGGACATATTTCTCCTCCCATCTTTTGAAGAACAAAAAAATATATATATATATATATATAGTTGAAACTTACTGATGTATTCTTTTGTTATAGGAATGCTGAAACAACTGTCATGAGACAAACCTACACTCCAGTGGTTCTGAAATCACCAAGGGTGGAGATAGCACCCATCACCCAAGGGGCTCCGGAGCGAATGGTCGTGGCTATCCCAAAGGTAGAACCAGCGAAATCCTGGAAATATGCACTTCTTTCCCCTATCACCCAAGGGGCTCCGGAGCGCAAGCTCTTGACTGTCCCGAAGGTAACTGGTGTGACGAAGAAGATTATGTGAAAGCGTCAAAGCAGTATGCAATCGTGAGGGCCACAGCCAGAACGAAGAGCTTGCTAATTCAGGCAAAGGAGGCTAATTAGTTTGCAACTACAACTTTTGTAGCAGCTTCAACGGGGGCAACAAAAAATGTTGTGGCCCAACTACTTAAAAGGGTAGAAGACTCCATTAAAATGGTGGAATTTTCCCAAAAGAAAGCATCTGCTGAAAACATAGCCATCATTAGGGCCATTGGGAGGAGGGTAATGACCCAAACTCCTGTTGATGGAAAAAAGGCCCCTGTTATTGAAAAAACAGTTTCGGCCTACGAATCGATAGTTCTGTTCAGGGCACAAAATTGGTCAAACCAAATCTCAGTAAACTCTCAGGAGCCAAAAGAACACTCGTTGGCTCGACAGGGTTCGAATAAGGAACACCCGTTGGCTCGATGGGGTTCGAATAAGGAACACCCGTTGGCCCGACAAGGTTCGAATAAGGAACACCTGTTGGCCCAACGAGATTTGAATCAACATCAATTGGTCCGCTCTAAAAATGTAGGGACTGTTTTGAAAATTCATGAGGAATTTGCAAAAACGCAAACGGTTCCTTCTATGCTCCTAGGGGCTCGACTTGATATGTCATCCGGTCCAGTTTCGAAAAGACAAAGGCGAAGAAGAAATAAGGCCTTAAAGAAACTGAAACTAAGAACAGTGGCAACAAATGTTATAGGAGCTATTGAAAGGGCTCTCTCGAAAGATGAATCCCAAAAACAAATTGAAAGTCCTGTCTTTGTTGGAAAATCCAAGGTTGAGGAGGGTAAGCAACCCTTGGGAAATATTTTTACTTTGGTTAAACTATCTATGGAGGGAATAAGAAAAGGGCCTGTAACAAGGTCCATAACCCATCAGGCTCGAAACAAAGCATCGCAGTCAGATGCTTCAAATATGAGTAATGTTGTGGGGGTTGATAATCCTTTATACGAACAAGATGATTCTATCTCGTTTGTTTCAACGAATATTGGAAACAATGAATTGAAAGATATCAACAAAGTCGCAGTTATGATGACTGAGGTTGAGAAAGAAGGTGAAAATTCGCAGGTCCAACAAGACCAAGGTCTCAAAGAAAAAGTGGTGGCCTACAAGAACAACTTGAGAGAAGAGAACGGGAAATGGCTGCTATGTTGGAGCAAATGCAACAGTTGCAGGCCCAAATGACAGGACCAGGAAGTGCACCCAAACAAATGACAAAACAAATGACACAACCTGTTGTGGGGACATCTGTAGGCATACAAAGTACACTTTCTCCAGGGAGCAATGGTCCTTGTTACTCTGATCTGACCAGTGGTGGTATGAATCCAATGCTCATGGCCATGATTGATGATATGGTGAGGAGAAAAGTAAAGAAAGCCAAAGAAAAAGATGATGAGAACTTTCGAATAATTACAAAACCTTACCCAGCATGGGTAGATGCTGTTCCATTCCCTTCTGGTTTTTCCCAACCAGATTTCAAAATGTTTGATGGAACAGGAAATCCAAGACAACATGTGGCTCATTTTCGTTCAAGGTGTGGGCCAATAGCCCAGAATGAGGCCTTGTGCCTGCAACTATTTGTTCAATCACTTGAAAGTTCTGCATTTACTTGGTATGCTAACCTTCCTGAGGATCAATCCTAAATTGGGATTCCATGGTGAAGGAGTTCCTTAAACAGTTCTGCAACACACAAAGGTGAGTTGGAGTACCAGAACTGATTGAGACCAAGCAACGTGACAACGAGTCTATTATAGATTTCATTGCAATATGGCGCGCTTTGACATTTGATTATCCTCAAAAGTTTACACAATTAGAGTTAATTCGGATGTGCCTTAACAACTTCCGACATGAGCTCTCTATGGCTCTTATGGCTCAAACTTTTGAAGGATTCAATGATCTATGCACTAAAGCTCATGATATGGAGCTGCATCTAGCTAAACGAAGGAGGCCTAGGGCCGTTGAAAGGGTTGAGTCCTCGACTGCAACTACAATCGAAACTAGAAAGAAGGGTCCCGTTGTAGTAGGGGCTAAAAAGCCCAAAGAATTTAAAAAGGTGACTATGAAAGAGAGGTTGGAGAAGAAATATTCTTTCATGGATGATCTGGTTGAAGACCTATTTGAAGATCTGTTAGAGCAAATGTTGATTGCTCTCCCTGAGGTGAAAAGACCACATGAGTTAGGAAAGGCCAACGATCCAAAGTATTGCCTGCCCCTACCATCGTTTGATTAGCCATTCGATAAAAGAGTGCTTTGTTCTGAAAGATAAAATTCAGGAACTTTTGGACTCTAAGATTATCGAGCTCCCTCCTCAAGAGAAAGCATCTGCTAACCCAATCACTATCGACAATGATAATAAAGGTGAATGGGTTGTTTATCAGTCAAAAAGCATGAAGAAAAAACAAAATGCCATAGTGAAAGCTAGAAATGTGGTTGAGTCAACAACACAAGGGCCAAAAGTTTCCAAAAAGCAAAAACCAAAAGTTTCTAGGAAACAGAAAAAAGCCAAAGTAAGAGAAGAAAAGAAGAACCCAAAAAAGGAAAAAGGGGAGAAATTGGTCCCTGATGAGCAATTAAAGCAATGCCCCCTTGTCCCAGTCACATTGGAGGAATTTTTACCTTCAAAATTTCAATCTGTGGAATTGCAGACATACTTTGATAAAAGGAGGGAGGAAAAGTTTACTTTGGCCCCTTGCTTAACCATCATTGTTATGAGTGATGACGAGGAAGATGAGGGTGAAGTTGGTTCAAAAGTTAGGGAAGGAGATTGCATTACATCTCCTATCTGCATACTTGACTCACCAAAGTATACACCAACTTCTCCAGAATACACACCAGCCTCACCATAGTATACACCAGCTTCTCCAGAATACACACCAGCCTCTCCAGAATATACACTAGCTTCCCCAAAGTATACACCAGAAACCTTTTCTCCAGAGTATTCGCCAGTACCACTAATGTACTATCAAAGCACTCCAGAATATGTAAGGGGAACAAAACAAGGAGACACTGGGTGTAGGTCCGACTTTGAGCTTGTGAAAA